GGCACTGCCTCAAGAATCTAGTGTGTGCATCTCGAAATCTGTCTTTGATCTCGGATAGAAGAAAAGGTGCCGGTAAAGGGCAAGAAATTCCAGGTTGTAGCCCACTCCTCGGATAGCAAGGCTACGGCCCGCAGGTAAAACGCGCCATTGGTGGAAAGCTGTCGAAGAGGTTTGTTAAGACCATGTGTTGAGCATGGCAAACACGCCTTAGTCCGCAGGAACACGAGGAATCCCTCGCTCCGGGCCGCTCGACAGGATCCTTCCAACGGCCGAACAACTGTAGTGCGATTTTCGTCAGCTGGATTACGGATCCCGTGAAGAGCACTCAAGGTTGTTCAGATGCATCGCCTGATCGATGTCGCCTTTGCACAGTATTCACACCGGGAAAATTCTTGCTTTGTCAAGAGCTTGAACCGTGTAGAGTTGGTAAAACCCGGGCTAGAGAAGGGCTCTGGATAAACAAAGCTGTTGCCGATCGGACAACTTCTTCGGTTCTCTCGGCCGCTGAGTTGGACGGCCGCGTCGGGCGGTAAAGACATGCGCAGGCTAGTTGGACAATCGGTCGTCGATTACGTGAAGCTGTTTGATGACTTGCAGCAAGGCAGTGTGAGTGAAGGATAGCACCACTGATAGCCTTGACAGTAGGTAAGGTGCGATGAGTGTCCGTGGCTGATGCGGGTTGGCTGACATCCAACCGAGAGAAGAGCCGTGGGGTGGGTGTGTTGCTTCTGCCAGAGCAAGAACGGGAGACGTGTCTGTCTGGTGAGGAGAGAACAGTCCGCGATCGTCGATCCTGGGGCTTGCTGGGCCGCCCTATGCCATGCAACAACCGTGGTGATGGGATAGGAAGAAATGCAATGCATCGCGGATCGGGCTATGTCGTGAACGCCTCAGGGCAAGGATGCCATGGTGGACTGCAGTGTGTCGTGCGACCAAATGGACACTGTAGTGGGCGTAATCGAGCTGTGCCAGATGGTTCGCAGCTGGGTCGAGAAGCGGTGCAATCCAATGTCTTCAGATGATAGTGGCAGAACCAACTGGTTGGATCAGGCTGCAGATGAGACCAGTGTGCAATGTCAGGGTACCAATTTGGATCCGGGTCGCCCATCTAGCTCGCTACCTGTTGTACAGAGTAGCACCCGGAGCTGAGAATATCTAGGTGGCAGATGGCAGCACTTGTCGGATTGTGCCAAAAGAATATCTCAACTGCAGAACGCTGCCGAGTAAGATGATTTGATAGTAATACCGGTATGTGACGAGATGTGATGGATCTTTTGCCCTCTTTGCAAAGCGGGGAGCCGTTGGTCCTGGCGCTCCCCTGGGTTCTCATGTCCAACATGGCTAAGCAGCTGTTAACAATAACAAAATGCAAAAATTTTCATTGGTGATGTAGATCGAAAACTGGATTTCGTCGACGGGCTGGTACATGGTAGTGATGATGCGAATTTCAAGTATGGAGTCCTAGACTTGCATGGCAGAGGTCAATCCGGTTCGTTTCCGCGTTCATGCTGGATGTCTAGGTCAAACGAGGCTTGAACAAATGGGGTCGCCGCGGCCGTTGACAGCTTGATTTCTTTTTGGGACGAAGTTGGTGTGGTGAGACCCCTGTTCAAATGTCGTCGGTGTGATGGTCAGCCAACGGGATCAAGCCGGGAGACGGAAGTCGGCTGCTAAAAATACCACTGGGTTAAGCGCCGACCCTTGTCTCCCTTTCCCCCCTCCCCTGCCTTCATATTGCCGGCCACCTTGAATCACGGAAACTCTGGCAAGCCGCAAGGCGACGATGGGCATCTTAGGTAATGAGCCTGGCAGGCACTTCCGGTGGGGACCAACTCAATTTTCACGGTCGCTGAGGTGATCCATCCCCAATCAATTCATTACCAAATATCTGTAGAAGTGTACTGTGTAAGTGAAGGTTCCGCCAAATAGGCCAAGACCAAAAGTAGGGCAGTGTGCTGCAATGTCATGACTTAGACTTATACCGCCATTTAGGATGAGCCGGGCACTTCCCGCGGGATTCTCTCCACCATGTTGAATTACATCTTGGCTGAATTATGGATGCGGCGCAGAGGTGATAGACATCGAGTTCTCTGGACAGAAAAGGTATGGAGGCAGTATACGATTGCGCCGTGAAGAAAATGCAACGGCGTGCAAGCCAGAGGGTCGCAGTAGGAATCCAGGCGCAGAGCGGCACAGAAAGCGTTGGATAAAGAAATCCGGCTCGATGTGGGCGTTATGGACGGACGGACTGGTAGTGGGCAATGATTAATGGCAAGGCATCAACGGAGCCCCAAAGACCCAAAGACGTCCATGCCCGGGCCCCAGTTCCAACCGACAGATTGTCGGCCGCAATGCGCCTTCCCAGGATCGAAGGCGACGTTGACACCTTAAGGCAAGGTGAGGTGCCTTACGTGCGAGTTTACGTGCGGAACCCTAGCGCACGATGTTGGCAAGGGCGACAGTAAGGTAGGTACCTCAAGGCTCAAGGTAAGGTCGAAGCTGCCTCTCATCGAGTCCGAGCCGCCCCAATGAGGTCCACGGGAGTTGGTGCCTTCCATTCGGAAAATCTGCGGTCCAGGTCCAGCCAACCTAAAGCACCTCAGCGGCGGTAAGGTGCGAACATACGGAGTAGTGAGTACCTGCCTACCCAAGGACCGGTAAGGTAGGAACAATGGACCAGAGTCACAACGGTCCGGTCGATCCTTCCTCTTCCCGTCCTCGACGTGACCTTTGATAGCTTTCGTCTCTCCACCATCCAACCCGCGACCGTTTGACAACCAACAAAAGCTTGGAAACTTGCGACCGCCACTCCGAAGCTTCTTTGCCAGTTCCCAGAGCTCATCGAGCTAGCTACCTTATTCTACCGATAGCTTGATTTTTGCTGCCCAAGCATGGCCATCCTTTCTCCTATCTTTCCTGACCTTGCCAATCGTACCTACACTAGCAGAAGCGAACGTATCCCTCCCCCTCCCGGAACCACCCCTCATCAGCCCATCGCTTCATCACCTCATTCCTTAGCTCAGCTCCGAGATATCTCATGCAGCTTCAGCTACCTTTTCCGAATCCCAAGCTCGACCACAGTCCCAATCATGCGCCCGGAATATCGAATCCTGAAACGGACCCCATCCGCGCAAGAATCAAGATGCCCGCAACACCCCTCACCGGGAGCCAGCTCCGAGACTTAAGGTTTCGCCGGTATATTGCTCATCATCGGTCGGTCCGGCCCCCAACATGGAAAAACAGACGCATCACATCTGTCCATCTGCCCCTGAATCCTGATCTTTTCCCCCGAAAGCTGATCTGCCCGAGACCTGTGGGTCTTTACAGGGCCGTCCTCCGTTACGATCCGATGCATTTGCTGCCATGAAGCCGGTTCGGACCCCAACACTTGCGGGCATTCATATCGACGACGGCACTAGCCACGGAAGTACAGCAACTGAAACACTGAAGAATTTCTGCCCCGACGTCGCATCTCGCGCTGCCCGTTTGTTCATCCCTTGACAATGACTGGGACCGCTGCCCCCAGCCCGCAACCGGGTCCCGTCCGTCCCTGCAGCCGGCCCAGGCCGTCGGTGTGACCCCCCATTGGGACATCTCCACCGCCCATGCCGACACTCGCCAAAAAGATCTTTGTGACTTTTCTTCCCTCGATAACGCACCCGAGATGCTGTGCAGCAACTTGGTCAACGTACGTACCAAGTAGCGTACCCAGCTAGCACCTTGTTAGCGTGCCTATTGTCACCAACGCTTAATCCAAATTGTGGTATTGCTACCTAGGTTCTTCCATATCGACCTTACTTATCTTTGTCACACCACGTTGATTACTTGCTAACTTGGACTCTGCGCTCAATGTAGACATCGCTTTCGTTTCGAAGTTATTATAATAAACGACACATTTGGAAGCACAGAAACTTAATGCCACCAAAATAGGTCTCCAATGACTGGCAATTCGTTCCTCGGCACACCAATAAGGCGCTGGGCTGCGCCTAAGCCCCTGCCGTCCCCGCCGATTCGGGGCTACCCCTGTCCACCGCCCTACCTCTCCCATGTTTCTCAGCGGGCCGACTGCTGCATGGCGTTCTCTTGGTGTTCACGTCAAAGATTGACAGCAGTCAATTGCTCGGTCGCTCGCCGCCCTCACCTTGGGCGACCGATGTTGCTATTCATTACCCCACGACCATCGGCGAACCTTCCGATTATTGCTTCAATATGATCGGCCTGTTCCTCCGTGCCCGCAACTCGGAGTCTTTGACGATCTAACAAGGAAGCGGAAAATTTCAACCTCGGGAGCCCCTGAATCATGGCACAATGATGGTCAACTCCTCCAATTTACTTCACTGGGGATCCTCGGTCCTCGGCCAGCTTGGAATCAAGCTGTATACGCCAGTGTCTGTCGGGAAGACGGCTTGTCAAATGGTTCACTATGTCTGTCTGCATGAGCTATGCGCCAAAGGTTCAAAATAGACTGCAAGCACTCGGTCACAAGTACAGTACCTATCTGTGCAGGAGCTGCTTATAGCCATCCTGGAGTCGACGGGTCACAAGACTTGTATGTATTCTCTGCTGTCGCGGTGAGCAAAAGCGACCTTGATACGCAGTCAGACAGACGCGAGACACACAGCCAGTCAGAGGGTTCACGGCTCCATATCTCACACACAAATTGTGTAACTCGCACGCCAGTTGGCTGCTGCCTTCGCTGCCCTCCGTTACATCTCCCGCTGTTTGCTGAACTGGATCTTGGGATGGATGCCCTGCAAAGTCAAAATCCAAAAAGGGCAAGCCAGTCCAGCAGGGGTTGTTGACAGGGCAGCCGACTCATGCATGTACAGCAATGACAACGGTTTACTTTACGGTCGGGAGACTGCGCCTCATTTCGTCTGACATTTTTTTTTCTCTCGCAGATTTCTCACTGTCTGTACAGCATTTCCCCCAGAAAAGACGCACTCACAGCCACTACTTTCCCACCACGGACGCTAGCGGCCGCTACTGTGGGAAACGGAATGACCGCGCTCCATTTGGCGCCGCTCTTTCTCTCGTATCTACACAGTGACGCCATTACCGCATGTTGCTATTCCTCATTGAGACCTCCGCGTTGTCTCCCGTTGAAATGGCGGCCTTGTTATGCAGTACAGGCATTTCCCATACACTGGGTAGGCAGGGTCAATAAGTCAGTCAGCGACAAGACGGGATATCTGTCTACATCCAAGGGGAAATGAAGACAAGACGTCTTGTCTGCCAGAACTGTGGGTTTCTTGGGGCCACGCCGACATGCGACTCGGTCGATCTGGTTCAGATCTTAGACATGAGAGGAGAGACACAGACGCACACGAACGAGACGAGACGGAGAGACAGAGTCAAAATGGAAACATGACCGTCCACCTCGTCATCAACCGCGGCTACTATACATGGCCGCGGCTTTTTCTTGGGATGTGGCAGAGATCCCAGACGCGCTCATTCCGTGACATCGCGGCAATTTCATACCAAACTTGGGGAGAGACGCTGCGTGGGACCATGGGATGGGGTCCCGTCTGCCAGCCTGAGAGGGCTGAGTCGTATGACAGGCATCTGGTAACTCTACCAATCAACCCGAGGCCAAAGACAGTGGTGGGTGACCGAACCCCAGCTCGGCCGATACCCTTCGAAGGAGTGCCTTGCATTTTTTCGAGCAACCTCCATGTCCCCCCGTGTCCAACACCCTTGAATACCCATGTACATACACACAGCTGACAGGGGAAGCGAGGCCTCTAAGAAGAACAGCCTCCTTGAAGAGCTGACAGTTTCCTTCTTTACTCGCACTTCGGAAGACTTGCGTCTGCCTCCTCTCAATATAGCAATGTCTCCAACAAGCGGCAGCGGCAACAGCACCAGTATCTTTGTCTCTTCTCTTCGTTCAGTTCCATTGCATATCGACTCCGCTTAGAACCAACTGCTCTCTGCATCTCACCTCGACCCCCAGCCTGTTGTTGGACAGGCTGACAGTCTCCAAGAACCGCCCCCCTACCTTACCTAGGTCTTTTGCCTTGCCTTGCCTTGCCTTACCGTACCTTACCTTATCTTACTGTCTTCCACCCACCCCAGTTTAGTCCTTCATTCTACACTGACACCCCCTTCTTGGACCCTGACTGTCCCCCAATTCGCACTGCGCGTCTTCATGTTTGGGGGTTGCTTCCAACTACACTCACTCGACTTCAGTCTATTCCGAGGAGAGCATTCAGCCGGGCTGTGCCTTACTAACTTTGGCTGCGTTGCTTCCTCTGCATTTCCCTCTCTGGGTGCAACCATTCTGCATCTCGGTCTTCTACACTTCCCTTTTGGGAATCTTAAACCATGGCCAGCCTCCAAGATATCATGAACGTGGACGAGGACCAACTCGAATCCCACACTATTAAGAACGACCAGGTCCCGGCTCCATCAGGCAGACATCATCAACCCTACTTGGCACCAAGCGCAGTTTACAACACAGACTATGCGACTGGGAGAGATCAAGCAGACCGTTCAAGCACACCACAAGGCACGAAGCGAAGCTCATCCTCCCGCACCTCCAAGTCGAACACCACAGGCTCGTCATCTTCATCTGCTCGACCAGTCAACACCCGTCGAAGGAGCAACGTCAGCACCGATTCCATGGAGCAACCAAACTACGGATACGGCCACGCAGGGCCCTCGGGCGGCGGCCTTGATCCCTCTGGCCAGCCCATGAGACCTTTTGGCAGCGTGCCACCTGGAGGGGAAGTTCCTGTCAAGTTGACTCCCATTACCGGCCGTGTCAGTAGGGCGAAGAAGGGTATGAAGGTTCATACATGCGACCTCTGTCGTCCTCCCAAGGTACGCCAGCATAATTTCGTAGAAGTCCGTTAGAGGAATCCGCTGACTTGAGTTAGACATTCACACGCGCTGAGCATCTCAGGTAGGCTTGATGCGATAACTTCCCACCGCGGTGCTTCGGCTAACAAATTTTGATACCAGACGACACCAGCTTAGCCATGAAACTCCCCAATATGGGTGCTCAATTCCCGGTTGCGATAGGGCTTTCCACCGCAAGGATCTACTTGAGCGTCATCAGCAACGACAGTGAGTTTGGTATCCTCATCTTTCGATTCTGGTAGCATCAACTGACTCGTGGTAAGTGAGCTCGAGGGCGACAAGGCATCGAGAAGCAGAGGAGGGAGTCAAAGTCGCCGGACCTCGGCCGCCTCTTTGGACGCAGGAGTCCGAAGCATGGGATTACAACCTCCCTTGCTTGGATACCCTACGAGCGCAACAACACCGATCCACGGCCTCCCAATGACATCGAGTATGTCACACCCTGGTACTTATCAGTCCATGAGCGCGCCAGACGTTAGCAAGTCTATGTCTCCCCACCTAGGGAACGAGAGCTATCGCCCTTCGTCCGGTGGTCCTGGTTACGGTGGAGGCTATTCTCTGTCAGGCCAATCCTCACAACAACCCATACTTCAGCCTTCAAATGGCGATTTCAACACCCCGCCCTCGTTTTCCTCCATCGACTACCAGCCGCGCACAACTCCTGAGTACCCTCCGTTGTATCTCCAGACATCGGGGCTGGGACTACAAACACCTGAACTTTCACACGCTCAGGATCCCATGGGATGGCCTTCTTCAGCTTCCGACAGCACTTATTCAACGCCTTCCGATAATTCGCGACGCGCGTTCTGGCCGACGGCGGCGCCAGATTGGCAAAATAACCTCCTTTCGCCTTGCCCAACAGGTGGCTACGAGACCATAGGAGCTACCGGCCCTATGCTCTACCAATATTCGACCTCTCCCCAGCTCAGCACTCCACAGGTGTACCCGATGCTCGGCACTTCCATATCTACCTACTCTGACGAGCAGACATTCCGTGACCCTCAGCAACAGCCACGGTTCCCCAATACTGTTCGTAGCCTGACCCCGCCGGTGACATCGGCATCGGCTCAAAGTTGTGAAACTCTAGTCACCCCGTCGACGGCACTACCATCGGACCGGATGATGAACTCATATGCCTGTGTGGGCCGTAAGGAGGTGGCGTCGGGCCTCCTAGCGGCCCCGGCCCTGATGCAGGGCTCCTTGCCTATGTCTATCTGCAGAGCCATTCCCGGCTACCTCGATGTCTACTGGGAAAAGTTTCACCCACATTTCCCAATCGTACACCGAAGGACATTCGAGGCCGCGGCGGAGCAGGTTGAAGTGCTTCGTTGCGCCATGGCTGCAGTGGCGACTCAATATCTGAGTGGTAAGGAGGATCGCATCAGGGGGGATCAGCTGCATGAATATGCCTGGCAACAATCCAAATACGTAAGTTGACACAACCATACTCTACAATGAAAGTCACTTTGCTGACATTGCGGGAGGAACAGATACCACAATGGGACGTGCCTGTCATGCAAGCGATTCTGCTATGTGAGTACTTCGCGCGGTTCCGCGGCCGGAGAGCAGCCATCAGGCCATCAAAAGAATTCGAATCCGTTTACTTGCGGGTAAGTTCTCTTCTCCATTTCATTCTGACACGTTTGTTCTACCTCATTTCTTCTAGCTTTAGTTTCTTTTACTGTGTGAACTTTTCTTTCAGTCTTTTGGATTTCTCATCTCAGCAATAAGTTCTAAACCTCCGTTCCAGGTATATGACAACAAAAAGGTCATATTTGGCCCCGTGCCTCGGACTGGAACCAATAACGTCAGATGGCACACTTGGCTCGATGCAGAGGCTCGTCGTCGCCTTCTGTCGGCATGCTTCGTCCTGGATATCCACAGCTCGGTTTACCTGGATCAGCCACGAGTCCGCAACTTCGACATCACGACCGATGGCATGCCACCCAACATCCCGCTCACTGGCCCAGCTCAGGACTTCTGGGATGCACCTAGTGCCGATGCGTGGGCGGCGATGGTCTCGTCCAAGGGAGTTTCCCTGGATAACCAAACGCTTCTGTCTTTGCTCGATCCAGACAGCTTGTCAAGAAGCATAGTCGACGCGCACGCCCCTTTCGACCGTGCAGTGATTCTGGCCTTTGAGGTACTTTTGCTCCCTCATCGTGGAGAAGCGGCGCAAATTTCTTCGTCTTCAACAGAAATACTGGAGCCACAGACTTTCCGCATGGCCAACATATTCTCGGACTGCCCCAAGGCCAACACCTACCTGGCTCTTCACCACACTCCTCTTCATGATTTACTGGCCGTTTCAGGTGACAGTTGGATCTTCAGCCACAAGGTTCTGCAGTCTAAACAGTTCGATGAGCACAAACAGCGGCTCCGGGAGTGGTCCGACTCAGGCAGCGCTGCCGTCGCGTTGGTCTTTGCCTGTCGGGCTCTTCGCGCCTTCACCGACCACGGCAACTCTGAAGAAGACTCTGATGACGAAGATGACATGGATACTCGAGAGGCCGGCAGACCCCGGATGTGGAAGGACATTTCGGATTACTGGGGCATGTACGTTTGCGCCCTCATCTGCTGGGCCAACGGGCACCGCATCAACGGCGGCGAAGCAAGTCGCGGCGATTCAGACAATGACGACGAGGCGCTTCAATGGATTCGCACTATTGCGAGCATGGGCGTCAAGAACGCCATGGAAACACCCTTGAAGAAGGAGGCCACGATGGTCGTGGCTCTTGTGAGAAGATGGCTCGAAGTGGATTGCCTCGGCAACAGGAGCCGACTCTATGTCGATGCAGTCGGCGTTCTGAGTAAGTTGGCCGAGGGCTGCACCTGGAAGTGGTTTTAGATGGAGATGATTGTGTGGTTGGTGGTGGTGGGTGGCAGCATTTTCCTCTTTTCGACATTTGGTATCAGCATTGCATACTTCACTTCGACTTTTCCTACCATTTTTTCCCAGCAGTTTTTTCTGCATTTCCATTTTCATCTTTTTGCTTTTTCCTTTCTTTGGCATGGCACACAGCACATTCAAGAGCAACTTGGCCAGAGGATCATAATACCTATTTGCATTGTACACTTACGACATTTATGACGGGAGGAAGAAAGCAGGTCCAGAAGAAATAGCATTTACGGGAGGACACCAGATAGAGAAATGTAGAGACGGCCTTTTCCTTTTCGCTCATATTCTGTTCCTCAGTTCTTACGAGTATATGGAGGGGGATGTAAACATTGATGAGTGCTCCATGGTTTATAGTGGTCGTAATTCTGAGCAGAACCACTTAGTATATATGTATCGAGACGATGAGAATTTACCATTCATTTCAGAAAACTATGGTATTACGCATTAAATGAATAGAGCTAGATAATATACATGACTCTGAGATGTGAGATTCGCGGAGTATTAACCTCAGCTAGAGACCTGCATACCCCCAGAGGAGGAAGACCCCTAAGCCCCGATAATTCGAACGTGGCATTGGTCTACTTGTTCTTTAGGCCATCCTCTGCTTTGTATGTGAGAATCTAGTAGGATAGGCAAGCCCCTTGTTTCCCCGTGTTTGACTTTTTGCGACAACACCTAGTCGGTAAAGTGAGCATGGCAACTGGCGCTTTGGACGCAGACCGGTGAGACTATCTGATGAGGTTTCTCTTGTCGTACTCATCGGAGTTGTCGTGGTTGCTTGTAATCAGCTGGCCAGCTCTCGCGACGTTTTCATAGCGTTCTTCTTTGTTCTGACTCTTAAGCAGGATTCAGTTATTTGATGACGTGGAATTGCTCTCGCCGTAGCTATTGTCGAGCGATCTACTCCGCTTCGTTTCGATGGAGCCTCTCGGCCATGGACGCGCGGTTTCTATATCAATTACAC